GGCGACTATATGATCTCACTGAAGTATCTCTCCTGTACTCTCAAAGTTGGATGCATATTTTTATTTTTACATAGAACATATTCAAATGTATTCAATTTTCTAATAACACTTGTCCGAAGCGATTGCCTAGTTCAGTGAGACTCCAGACAATTCTGGCCCACAGGATGGAATGAATGACAGTTGTATCAGTTGCTGTCCGTTGTTGACAGTTGCTGTCCGTATTTCTGCGTAAATGATTATTTCTTCTCTAAGTTCTCGCGGGACCTTGCAAGCTGATTCCCATGAAACCTTTCGTGGCTAACGAGGCAAGTGGCGCCTCTATTCGAAGCCACCATGAAGTCAATTTCATGAGACGCCTGTTCCTAACTTCATGTGGTCATTCTCGTGACCTTATTGGGTCACGAGATTATTCTCATGAGATCTCTTTCCGAAAACCTCATGAAGTTATTTCAGCAGGACAGTCAAGTGAACACAACACACCGCATTAACCACTTCGTTCAACAACGGTTACGTCATAAGATTATGTTGCTTTTAAATGTTGACCGTAGGCTATGATGCTTTTTTGACATAATCGTAGATTTTATTGCAGATGGAAGAACAAAAATAATTCCTGCTGAATGTCATCACCACCTCATTTTCACTAATGCGTTCTATTACCATGCGTAACGTCGTAGATGTCAGCAGATGCGGGGAGACGATCGACATTCGTGGCAAGCTGCGTGGATCTCCTCAAGCAATACGGATTCGACGGACTAGACATGGACTGGGAATACCCGGCCAACCAAGGAGGCAGCCCGGCCGACAAGGTGTGCAAGGCTCTCGTCGCGGTCATCCATTGCACTGGATCGACCAAAAATGTCGCGATTTGGCTTGCCTGCCAGGGGTGTGGGAAACGCACGACGGACAGGGCATTTACTAGCTTCAGCACCCGAAAGAGTTATTTCCCCAAATGTCATACGTAGCCTCACCTGCAGTTCCTCGTTCGAAATTTGATATGAAGTTGTCAGCATGTGTTTCGTTAGCGGGGCTAAGAACAAACAATTTTGGAAAGCTAGGAAATATATCCTTTATTCATGGCTCTGAAAAACAGCCTTCATCAGAACGGGAGGGGAAAAAAAAAATCTGTAAAGGAACAAATGTCCTTCAAAATTTTGTGCATTCACCTTTTGCACACATAAAATACTTGTGGCTCTATACTTTGTTTGTATCTGACGTTTTCCCGTCTGCAGGTAGATAGAGATTTATAGACATCGAGTATGAAGTTGTTAGGACGAATATGTTTTTTTTTTTTCGTTTCGGGCCGGTTTCAGGGGAACTTCGTGCAGCTGCTGAGAGATCTGAAGGCAGCTTTCGCGCCAAACGGATTCCTGTTGACAGCCGCTGTTTCTGCCGGGAAGAACACCATCGACACCGCCTATGACGTCCCGGGCATGTCTCAGTAAGAATGGGTTTTCTATTCTGTTTCGCTTTATTGCATGAAGTACCACAACGAAGAATATAACCTGGAATTAAATGTCTCTTTTACGAACTTCGTTTCATCAGATAAGCATCATTCTAACTCCCGATTATTCTATTTGGTATGAAAATCCGCATTATATGAAATACATCTAGGACACTGGACTACATTAGTGTGATGGCATATGACATGCATGGAGCCTTTGACAGCTATACTCACCACAATGCTCCTCTCTTCGCCCTTCCACTCGATCAATCCCATAATAACCAATACTTCAATGATGTGAGTTCTCAATCTTCCCTAATGTCAGTGCTGGATTTCACGAGCATTTCTAATTCTAGCGTTCCATCTCTATAGGACTTCGCTGTACGCTACTGGTTGAGCTTGGGAGCCCCAAAAGAGAAATTGGTGATGGGAATGCCGGTCTACGGACGAGGTTTCACATTGGCTGACCCCAGCAATAATGGATTCTATGCTCCAACTGCTGGGGCTGGCACGGCGGGTCCTTATACGAGAGAAGCAGGAATCCTCGGCTTCAACGAGGTTAGATCATCGATGCACAATTGCAAAATTTTCCTTTCTGAAAATTTTATTTCGTTCGGAGAAAGGAATGCAAGAGACGAGAAGACGGAAGACGTCCTAAGCGTGGACGTCATGATAATGAAATTCATGCTTACTTTTTTTAATTTTTGATATGATGGAACAATTTCATTGCAGATCTGTGAAATTCAAAAACAGTATGGAGATTTCAAGAGGATCTGGAACGATGACATCAAAGCTCCTTATTGCACTTTTAACTCGAATCAGTGGTTCGGATACGACGACACAGAGAGCATCACCCAGAAGGTCTGTTCCCGAATTCGATCAAAAGGCAATATTATCGGAAAGTGATTGATGGCGTCATGAGTCGCGTTGTGGGAATAGGCGCAGCTGATCGTGAACTTGGGCCTGGCAGGAGGGATGGTCTGGTCGGTTGAGACGGATGACTTCCAAGGGAAATGCGGATTGGGAAATAATCCCATTCTGAACACCATCAAGAAAGTCCTGAACGGGCAATCCCCACCGAATGAGGCCACCACCAAGGCGCCTGGAGGCAGGTGTTCCTCTGCGGGGTACTTCGCGGCGGGATCTTGCAGTCCCAAATTCTACTATTGCCTTCCTAACAACGGTCAATGGATCATCTATGACCTGAGCTGCGCTGCCGGGACCGTAAGTTCTTTCTCGAACCTCTCGGTTTGAAAAGAAATGGATCTAAATCCTTGTTTTTTTTTTATATTCTAGATTTATTACCGAGGTTCTTGTGTCTGGTCAAATGCTTCCCCTGAATGCCAAGGATAATTTTTAACTGCCTTCGAAGGAATAAAGAATAGTGAATTCATGGACATGAAAATAAAACTGAGGCTTTTATTTTGGAGACAGGTAAAAAATTGACTGAATGTTCACAACCTACATTTTCCAATATAAAATAATGGAAATTTGGAGAGGAAAAGATTGAGGATGATCGAGAGATGAGTTTTGTTATGGTCTTTGCTGAATAATTAAGTTCATGAGAGATTAGCAGGTAAGCATTGGATTAATGTGTTTGTAAATAGTCCGTGTTGTAAGGTCATTGGAAGAAAAGATGATTGAATACCGTTCGGGATACAAACTAATCCTGCAGTTATTCTAATCTCTTCACTTGTAACTCATCTCCAGGCTTAGATGACGTAGGCGTACATTATCAGCGACGTGAGCTCCCAATAACACTGGAATCAAGAAATTAAAAAAGAAACGGATGTATCCTGTACGATCCGTGATAACTGGATACTCCAGTCTCTCTCATATGTTTAAGACCAAAATGTACCATAGCGTTACACGCCCGCTCTGGGATAACAGTGTAGCAGAGGCCCATCACCAGACAGAGCAATGCACATAAAACCCAGACTCTCTCTCCTTCTAGGCGAAACTTTAAAACTTGACGCCACTCCTTTGACTCACCTTTCCCGGACCCACGATATCGCCTGACTCTTCTTCTGTTCCTTGTAGTCCTGTAGTAGTAGTATTTGAAATTCATTTTCTCAGGTCGTTCACGAATCGTGTGCTTGCTACTCATTATCTTTAATACGCATCATCTCTTCCTAAACAGCGTCATTTTGGGTTCTCAGTGTGAGCCCGATGGGTTCAACCGCATTTGCGAGACTTGGCCACCCCCCCTCCCCCCCCTCAAAAAAAAAGATCCAATCGATTTAAATGGCATCGACATTGACATGGAATGAATTCTCCTACCATTGCGATCGTGAAACATCATTGCCCCATTCCGACAGCTTCCAAGCTCCAATACACGCTTATTATTTTTTATGTATATTCATTTGGTTCAACATGCCTTGCTCCCGCTCGGCGACCTTCTATGTCTGACTGAAGGGGACGGATGGAACGATGGGGTCCGAGACGAAACAAAACACTGGATCAAATGTGAGGCGAAATTCACTCGTGATTTGTAAATACCATTGAATATCTTAGAAATGATGCTGGATATTTCTTTCCGGTCAATAATACGAGGTAGGTGACTGTCCAAGCCTTAAATGCAGGTGAAGAATTGCTAGGGATTTCTATGCCCTGTCCAAATTCTTCCCAGCCTGTTCAAACGCGTTGCAATGCGGATGCATGATTCGTGCCTTTATTTTCGCGAGCAGTGACTCACGCATGGCGATGGCAGGGAAAGGGGGGGGGGGGGGGGACCAACTGCGAGGGAGAGAGGGATATTTTCCATGCATACGTCACCCTGTTTTCCCTTTTCGGCCGATCGGTCGTCTAATTTCTAGGAAAAAAGGAAAGGAGGTTCCAGCGGGTCCCAGCGACAGGGGCTGCTAGAAAATCTTGTTTCTCCCAGATTCCCCGTCACATGCATCATGCACCGCCTAAATCTTTTTTCCACGAGTGACGCCGGTTTCGATAGCTCAGAGAAATATTTTCGGCTTCAAATACAGTTATGTTCTAAGGAAGATGAAGAAAGACTCCTTCATTATGAGGTCGATATGATGTCTTCCAATCTAATTGGAAACCGTCCCCGCCATCTCCAAAGCAAGGTATGCCTGTTTTCTGGACTAAGAAAGTGAAACTCCTCCATGAAGCGCTGAAACAAGGCTACTTCAAGTGCGAAAGAATATGCTGCTTATGAAGCAGTGATTCTTAATACGTTGACCGCCGTGATGTCAATTTGTTAAACAGGGAGCATCTCAGAGGACGGGACAGTTTTATTTATTTTTTTTTATTTTGAAATTGACCAAAAGGGATCACACAGGGGACGCACTAACTCCTTCCCGTGAAACGTTCACGTATTCCGATTTGAGGTCTGAGTTGCCCGACTTCTGTTCCATGAACCATATTGTGACGGATAAGGATGGCATCGAGAGGCTCGACTGAATGTCCGGGGTTCGGTGGTGTAGTGGTAGCACACCTGACCGGCAATCAGGAGGCTCGGGTTCAATTCCCGGCCGTTCCTTGGCTTCAAGGAGTGGCGCCAAGTTTTAAAGTTTCGCCTAGAAGGAGAGAGGGATATTTTCCATGCATACGTCACCCTGTTTTCCCTTTTCGGCCGATCGGTCGTCTAATTTCTAGGAAAAAGGGAAAGGAGGTTCCAGCGGGTCCCAGCGACTGGGGCTGCTCGAAAATCTTGTTTCTCCCAGATTCCCCGTCACATGCACCATGCACCGCCTAAATCTTTTTTCCACGAGTGACGCCGGCTTCGATAGCTCAGAGAAATATTTTCGGCTTCAAATACAGTTATGTTCTAAGGAACATGAAGAAAGACTCCTTTATTATGAGGTCGATATCTTCCAATCTAATTGGAAACCGTCCCCGCCATCTCCAAACCAAGGTATGCCTGTTTCCTGGACTAAGAAAGTGGAACTCCTCCATGAAGCGCTGAAACAAGGCTACTTCAAGTGCGAAAGAATATGCTGCTTATGAAGCAGTGATTCTTAATACGTTGACCGCCGTGATGTCAACTTGTTAAACAGGGAGCATCTCAGAGGACGCAACAGTTTTATTTTTTTAATTTTGAAATTGACCAAAAGGGGGATGCCTTGACCAGCAATCAGGAGGCTCGGGTTCAATTCCCGGCCGTTCCTTGGTTTCTTTCGTCCTCTCATGCCGTCCGTCTCCCGAAGTTCCCCTCCGTAACAATATTCTTCAGTGAAACGTAGCTGGAATTTCGAAAGCCATAATTCGCACGAAATATATTGTGTGCGTCCTCCCCCTCCTCAAATTCTCCGATTTTCCTATACACCAAACTTCCGTTCAATGACATTTAAATGAGACACACCGCACGAATTTGGAGCTACTGCGTTTCAGATGAAGGAGGGAAGATGCTTGGAGATTCTTCCTATCCTCGGAGACCCCGATTTCCCTTTATATGATTCCAAGTTAATTCTGTCTTATAGTACTAGTATTCTAAAGGGATGACGTTCGAATTTCGTACTTCGGATCGATATCAGGGGTTGCAAGAAAAATCCCGACATTCTGTCCATCTGGGCGAAAATTTGAAGCATGATCCTTCCAGATCCTTCATCATAGCTACCTATTTTAATTTCTCGTTAACCTAATTTAACCTCACCTAACCTTGGCAGAAAGTAACATGTCAGGTCAGTGGTTTCCAATCTTTTTTCACTTGCGGCACACATAAGGACGCTTGAACTTTCCACGGCACACCCAGCCATTTACTTACTTTCAATGGGAAACTTGTAGTTGCTTCGCTGAACACAGCAGTTTGATACGAGGCGTGATAGTGCAACTCTCAGCTCGTTTTCCACTGACAGATGGCTTTCCCTTTTGTTTTTAAGTTATTTTAGTATTAGGTTTTTTTTTCCAACTTTCAAATCTCACGGCACACCTATGCCTTACTGGCGTCACACCGTTCGGGAAACACTGTGCTAGGTGGCCTGGGCCAATGGGAGAGAGGATGGGCGTGTCTTTTTTCCTGGCGGCTCAGCTAGCTCTACTGAGGCCCCCGGCATCTGATGACGTCATTTTAAGGCTTCGCGGCTCAGCGTTCTCATAGTTCGCTGTATACCGATAGCAGCTGCTTGCCCAATAGTGACGTCATTCGATGACGTGGTCCTGCCTAGTCAACGCGTCTGTTTCGCCAGCTGCTGCTGGCGAAAAAGACACGCCCGATTTAGTTACATGGATCATCTTCACATCCTTAAAGCTTACCTACACAGTCTTAGATACTTGAGGGGATTTTCTCCAGGATCTGTGACTTGTTTCCCTGTGTTCCTCATCCTCTCATTCTTTTCTTTAGATTTCTTACGGCTATAGGATCGTGTTGCAGAGGTGCACAAATCAAAAGACTGCGAGGGCCATTTGCGATTTAGACTCACCTACCATGAGCCGCAGTCTGGCTGACCATACCTGTGGCCGCCAGTGGTGACTCGTGGGTAAAAAAAAACTGGGTAGGCAGCAGTGGCGCATACGAAGGGGGATGGGAGGGGAGGTGGGTGGGGTGATCGCCCCTGTTTGTGGTTGAAACATATATATGTACTCTTGGCTACGGGCTTTGCATAAAATTTGGGGATTTTTGCGATCAGTAATTTCAAATCGATTTCTAACAATCATAACTAGTCATCAAGGAAATGTCTTGCATTTAACGGGAAAAGTTATGAGGATTTAAGCCTTTGATGAGTGAAATTATGCCGTTGGGAGGTACCCCAAGGATGCGAATCGCTGTCAGTCTTCACAATACAAATCGCTAGGCAACCGTGCCTCTTCCAGGAGAGAGCATCAACCATAGTGGGGTAAGCAAGGGGAACCGGGGCTCAGGGACTGACAAAAGCCTGTCGAAATGAATCCTTATTCAGAATGTATTGAGTTGGTCAGATCAGGTGTGCCAACAATCGTGGCTTCGGCAAGCAGGTGCTTCTGGGCTAAGGACGTGAACATGCGATTCTCATCCTTATCTTCCAGCGCAAGGAGTTACTACGCAAAGTAGACAAGCCTACCCAGACTGTTCTCGTCCCTCTCGCCATCTCGTTCCTGCATTGGAGTCGTGGGGATTTGAGCCTAGCCAAGGTAGGCTGACTACGCCGTGCCAACTCTTAACACAATCTAATTCTGCTTTTACCGTGCAAAGGAAAAAGTATTTCCAGCTGTGATAATCCAATAATAAGTTAGCAAATAATAGTTTCAGAACCCTAACTTTAAACTGGTTAGGCACTGCCTACCCTGACGAGCCGCCTCTGGTGGCCACAGGGCAGGAGCCATAGTAGCACATGCCACGTACAACGCCACCACTCATGGCGGCTAAGGGCAAGGGCCTCGTGGTCCGCATGCCGCCCGTGGACTTGTGTTGTGCACCCATTTGAACTGGGAGTTGTCCTTTATGAACTTGCTGGACCGAACTCAACATATGTATATTT